AACAATCTAATGATCAACGACGTCAAAAATATTTTGTCTGAGAGTGAAACACCGGATTGGGGGTAGGCATCCAGGGCCGTCTCGAGTAATTTGGGGGCCTTGAGCAAAAACCCTTTTTGGGGCCTTTTTAATAAATAATAATAATAATAATAATAAACCTATACAGAACTTAATAAAAATTTAAAACTATTTTTATTAGAAAGGAGCACCATTTAAAGCGTTAATAATAATTAAGAGAATAAAAGTTAATTTGATGTACAAAGAGGCCTTATTAGGGTAATTAGGTACTACTATATATTGAAAGAAAAGAGTGTGGTACCTCTCAAAAAACAATATTTTAAAAACAGTCATTTGAGTGCATAATTAGGGCAATTTATAATTATTAGAAATTTTTTTAACATTTAACTCAAATAATACTCAAATTTTGGGTTATTTTGTTCCAGCTCTCAAAAATTTATTGTTGTTTTTCATTCTCCAAAATTTTTGACTTTTTTTTTTTTTTTGGTGAAACTTTAATTTAACATATTAAATTGGATAACAACTACAAAAGAAAAATATCATTGGGGGCCTTAGGCAACTACTCAAGTGGCCTAAGGTTGAGCCGGTTATAGGCATCTCGCACCAATATTGTCGAACCACAGATCTGCATAAGAGTCAAACTTAACATGCATTTCTTCCTGTTCATAGATCCGCAAAACCCGCGGGTCTAATCCACCCCTCTCTTAATCTAATTTGAAAAATATAATTTTTAATTTTTTTTTTTCAGCACATTCAATGTTTGGCCCGAAATTTTAGAACGGGGTGTAGGTTGGGCCTATAATGGCCGCACACTCCAATCTAACTCGCACTCTAACTTGCTTGCTTTAATATCTAACCCTAGAGAGACAACTCATTTCTACTCTCTAGTTTTTTCATGTTTGAATTAAGTTTCTATGTTTGTTTTATGTTAAGACTAATTTATGAATGTAGACTAATTTATGTTTGATTTATGTTTGATGTTAGATGGACTACTTTGCTTCATATTTGATGTTGGATTGAACTTTGAATTTCTATTTGTTTGAACTTTGAATGTTGGAGTTATTATTTCTATTTGATGGTAAACTTTGAATGTTGGATTGAACTTTGAGTTTTTTATTCTTTGAATGTTGAAATTGGCAACCCAATCCACCCCGCACCATCCCAACCCAACCCAAACATTATTGGGTTGTGAAATTTTTCTAACATCGTTGGAGTCAAATATGTGCAACCCGTACCCTTTAAGATGGGAGAAGAAAAAACCATATCGTATATCAACCCTACCCATGAACAATCCTAATTCTTCCTAGTACTGTTTAAGACATGATTAATTGAATAAACACAAACTTGAAGACAACACAAATAAAAAAATTTCACTATCACTAACTCCTTTTTGATTAGTGATGGATCCACTTTACTCTTAAAATGGCGAACGCAGCAAGTTGATTATTGACGGACTTGTTTGAGGGGAATACACTTAAATTTTGCCCAAAACGATAGTAATTTGTAAATCGAATATTATGCTTTTTTTCTAAACTGGTTTCTTTGTTGTCATATGATTCATGAATCCACTACTTTTGGTCACAACAATGGCATCTTATTCACACCAATAAATAACGTCCACTTCAAAAAATTTGTTACTATCATTGTCATCAACTAGGCTAACGGGAAAAACTTAACGGGGGAAAAAATCATCAAGTTTGAAAAATCTTTTGTTACTTCTTTTTTAAAGCTTTCTAAATACTGTTCATCGAATCATAGCCTTAACGTGTAAGCAATGTTATTTTTAATAACATTAAAAAAGTTGTATTCTTTACCGTCCCAATATTGTAAAAGTCTATATTCTCCTTCTCTCTCTCAAAAAAAAAAAAAAAAAAAAGACAATACATAAATCTAGATATTCCTCTACTATTTAACCAATAGTACTAAACGTTTCAAGAAGAGCAGTTACTTTTTATTTTTTATTTTTTTGATACTGTCATTTCATATTTTTCAATTAATTATAATTAATAGTTAACAATAATCATAATGGATTCTATAATTTTTAAATAGAAAAATGACTAGTCTTACGGACATCAATTCTAATCTCAATTATTTTGTATCAATTTATGTGGCATAGACTTATCTTTTTATTAGTAAATGTAGTCACTTATTATTACTTAACGTGACAATCTTTTAAATAACTACTAATAAAATGATGAAAACTCACATACCTCTTAAATTATTACAAAAATATTGAAATTAGAGTAGTGTCCCTATCATTATTCTTTATATACATTTATATATATTGACATAACAATAACATAAGAGAAAATGATCAAAATATGTATTATATAGAAATTGTATCTTTCGACCTTGGAGTGTGAAAATGGAAGGAATTTTTAGTAATGATGCTTAGATTGTTTCTGAAATTCAGTTTGTTTATTTTTATATAAAAAATAAAATTAGTGTGTTTTTAAAAATGTGTATTAAGTTATATCTTAAAAAATGAAAATAGAAAAATAGAATGTAAAAATAACTTTTAACCATTTTGTATTTTATTAACAAAAATCATATTTATTTTTTTTCATTTTCATTTTCAAAACATTTACTAATTCAACACTATTTAAAAAAATATATTTTCATATCTCATGCCTCAAAAATATAAAAAAACATTTTAAAAAACGAATGAAAATGATACCAAACAGCACGAAAGTTTTTATATTATTAGAAAGTTCGTATATAGCATTCCGCTTATTAGATGGTTCATATATAGCATTCCTCTTATTCTTAATTTTTCTTAATATTTACCAAAAAAAAAGGAGAAAGAGAGAAATAGGCTAAGACTTGAGATGAATTAAAATTAATAGGCCAATAGTTTATATAAGTTAATAAATATGTCAAATTACTGTTTTCGTCTATAACTTGTCTAGTTATGAACCATAACTTGACAAGTTATTGTCCATAAATCACGATTTTTATCCATAACTTGTCTGGCTATGAACCATAACTTGACAAGTTTATCCATAACTTATCTGATTATGAACCATAACTTAACAAGTTATGACCTATTAATTTCTATAACTAAAAGTTGGCCTATAGCATTCCTCTTATTAGATGGCTCATATATAGCATTCCTCTTATTCTTAATTTTTCTTAATATTTACTAAAAAAAAGAGAGAAAGAAGAAAATATGCCAAGACTTGAGATGAATTAAAATTAATAAGCCAATAGTTTACATAAGTTAATAAATATGTCAAATTATTGTTTTCTATTTTCTACTATTTCTGGAAAAAAAAAAGTATAAATTCAAGGAAATGTTAAGAAGGGCTTTAGTGTAAGCGGACAAAGTGCGAAAAAAATGGATAAATTTTACTTTTGCCTCGCGAACTATAATAACATTATCAGTTTACTCTCTAAACTTTAAAACCAGTTTATATGCCCCCAAACTATTAAACGTTACTGATTTTGCCCTTTCCGTCCATTAAATTGATGGAATAGCTGATATGGCAACATTTTCTGGGGTGGTTAAATTATATACCACCATCTGAATGCCTTTTCCCACCAAATTAGCTTCTTTTTTTTTTTTAATTTCCTCTGGTTTTTGACAAAAACAAGGGTTTCTTCTTCCCTTTGTTCCATATCAGTGCTTCTTCCAAATTGGTATCTCTGAGGTTGGTTAGGGTAAAAAAAACTTCAAAATTTGGAAGACTTATGGCAAGTAGTAGCCAACAGTGTTCAAGATCAAGCAATAAACACGAGTTAAGCTCTGAATTTAGTAGAGAAGAGACTGAATCAAAAAGGTCTACGCTTTATAAATGTAAGCTTGAACTGGTAATTCGGACTGCAAGAACACAAGAGAACCCCGGTTCTATGGTTGTGCCAAATATAAGGTTAGATATTTTTTGCCTCCTCAAGTTTTAAGATTTGTGAAATTTATTTGTTGAACTTTTTGGACCTTAATTTTTGTAGAAAGACGTTAATCCAGGGTGTGGGCGTCTCATTGGATCGACCCTGCTCTGATGACGATTAATTTAGTTAATAGTTAAAGCCATTGAGGAAGAAATTGAGAAGTTGCAAAAAATATGTATGAGAAAAGAAGATGATATGACGGCAGTACAAGTGGAAATATTGAGAAAGGATAGTAAGCGCCGTTTAGTTCGCTTATTTAAGTTTTTAATCTGAGTTAAGATGTGATTTTATGTGAGAATTTTTACTGTAATAAAAAAGTTAAATATGAATGTTTCTGAGAACATTTTACTGTAATAAAACTCAAATTTTAAACTCAAAAATTTTAACCACAAACCATACCAAAACTTGTAGCATTATACATACTAACACATAAATATCAACTAACATTCAAAAATCCATCATATTTTCACATTACACAAAATTATTAAGAGAAAAACTCACTATAATCAGGTACAAAATTCTTCTCCCATCATTACCCATAGTATTCATCACTTTTACAAGTGATTCTCCACAAACTTAGCTTAGATCTCAAAATAGCAACATCCTCTGTGTGCACTATTAAGATTTGAAAATAGTTTTCTCACGATTTTTCTAAATGTGATGTCTGAGGAGTATAGTTTTTTGATAAAAAGTCTTAGGAGTATATATGGGCTTCGTTCCTTCTACCGATTTGAGTTTTCAGTTTTAGATTTTTACAGTTAAAAACTCTCAAAAAATATCACATCTAATTTTTTTTGCTACAGTTAAAAACTCTCAAAAAATGTTACATCTTAACTCGAATTAAAACTTAAATCTGCGAAACGAACGAGACCATAATTTCACTGATCTCAAATTCACTTGAGACAAAATTACTTCCTTACCCTTCAATCTCCCTCAAAATCAAGTCAGCTTAAATTAGACGGCAATAGACAGAAGGACAAAATCAATAACATCTAATAGTTTAGGAGGCATATAGACCACTTTTTAAATTTTGGGAGTAAATTGACAGCGTTACTATAAATTAGGGAGCAAAAGTAAAATTTATCAACAAAAAAAAAAAATGCTGCGGGAGTTGTAAGCTCTATCCTAAACTAGTATTTTCTTTTATTTTCGGAACTTTCCCTTTCATATTTCATTGTTCATCATAGTTTGATCCAATAAAAAATATATTATCTGGGTTTAAGCCAAGGTGACTTTTGAAGTCCCTGAGAGAGAGATAGAGATTAGAAAGAGAAAGGGGAGAGAGAGAGAGAGAGTTGTGGGGGGTTTTGAGCATTTGAAGCAATGGCTTCAACGCTGGTACTGGTTGTTGTGTTTGTGCTTGATTTAATTGCTTTTGCGCTTGCTGTTGCTGCTGAGCAGAGGAGGAGTACTGTGAGTTTCTGTTTCCCTGATTTTCCTTTCTGTTCTTTTTCTTTTTTTCCTGGAAAATTTTTCTGCTTTGTTTTCTACCTTTGATTTGTAGATGCAGATTTTTTTTTTTTTTTTGGGGGGGCAGATTT